GGGGGAGTGGAGAGAATATATCGCCATGCTGCTGGGGTTATTATTATGCAGCAAGGGTGAGGCGATCAGTGAAATAAAACATTTATAAATGGTTTCGTGCTTACAGTAGGAGAGGTGGGCCGGGGGGGCCGCCCAGGCGCTGATCACACAGTGCAGGCTGCAAATCGATAACCCTTTCCTTGTAATCCCAGTAATTGTGGGAATCACGGCTCTCTGTTAAAGGGACAGCGGACTGCAGTGGGGGGTGTGGGGGCTGCGCTTGCAAAGGCCCTTTCCCCCAAGGGCCCACCCTGGCCTCCCCAGCTCTGCCTTGAAGGCAGCTGGCAAGGGGCAGGGGCAGGCTCTGGCCCCACCGAGGACCATTTCCACAGCCCCCTTCACAGTTACAGTAAGGCCCCTTCTGTCACCTGTGGCATCCTCCACCCAGGGCAGGACATGTCCAGCACCCCCGGCTGAAGGCAAGGAGGGGAGAGAGAGCAGCCCCCGGGGGTGCTCTGTACCTGTCAGATCCCCATGAATCCAGTGATGTTTTGTTGTGTGGCAGAGAAATGAGAAGGACTGGTGAAGTCCTGGTTGGAATCAGCCTGGTGTGAGCCACCCCTGGTCCTGGGGTGCCCTCGGGACAGCACCCCAAGCCCAGCTTTGCCCACTGCCCCGTGTCCCCCAGGTGTGTGGCTGCGGGGCCGAGGTGCCCGGCAGCCTCCAGGGCGGCCGGTGAGGGGGGTGCATGGGCAGGAGTGCCGGGGGCATGGGGCCCTGCTCCTGCCCTCTCCCTGCCGCTGACCATCTGTCATTCAATTAGGGCTGGGAGGCAGCTGAGGGGCTGGGGGGAGTGGGGCTGGGGGTCAGCGACCCCGCGCACAACGGCCTGCTGCCTCGCAGACGAGAAGAAGTTCAAATGTTAAATGCTCTCCGGCCCCGGCTTATCCAGGGCACTCGCCTTTGGAGGCAGTGCAGGGGTGAAGGGCATCAGTCATTAGCACTTAGATTTCAGCTCCGAGGCTGACCCTGCCTTCTGTTGGGGGATTTTGGCCTGAAAAGCCTTAACCCTTCCAGGGCAGCCCACACTCCTCTCCGGCCCCCACGTGGGTAGCCCCAGGCTGGTGCTGCCTGGCCAGGCTGCTCCTGCAGCCTCCCCTGTAGCCTGGGGCTGCCCCCCGGCCAGGTGGGTTTGGGTGAGAGGAGGGATCCCCGCAGCCCTGCCCACAGCCGGCCTCTTCCCTGACCCCGCTGAAGGGGTGAGCCAGGGCAACAAGTCAGTGCCAGCAGGGAGCCACGCTGTGGCCCTGTGCTGGAGGAAGCACACACGACCTGCCCACCCACGGCTGCACTTCCTGCAGGGTGCTTGACACCCCCTCTCCTTCTTACAAACAGACCAGAACAAATTGATGAATTGAGCTTCCACTATGCTAATTTGGACATTATAAATATTTAACTATCAACCCTAGCAGCCAGCCAGAGAGGGCTCCTCTCTCCTTTACATGCCACTTAATCTAAAGTAAATGTTTGTCCCAGAAGTAGCTAGGGCAATCTGGGCATCTCATTCCCTGCCCCTTCCTCCCTCAGGGGAGCCATGTGGGTCCAAAAGGGGATTTTGTCATATTTGACTCATTTCACAGAGTCTCCCTGCTGGCCTGCCTCCTTGTTTCGGGTGTGTTAAGAAGCTAACCTGAGGCAGAGCTTGAACTGAGGCACTGTTCTGACTAGGAGAATTCTGACACTGTGCCTCAAATCAGACAGGTCCCTGACCACATCACCCAACACTGGGGCTGCTCTGCCTGGAGCAGATTTCACATGTATCCAGAGGTGGAGAGACTCCCGACTCAAGATCAAGGCAAGGAAGAATGAGTTACCATGCTCTTTCAATAGAAACTCCTCTGTGACATGCAAACCCACAACATCTATAATTTCAGTAGGATGACCCTATGGCCTTCATTTTGAGGACCGATTATATACCCCTCGTGATATCAGCATTTGATATATTTGATAGATTTTCATGTTTGATATACTTACTGTTAGCTGCTGAAGGGGAGTAATTTTCTTTTTCAAGATGGGAGCACATCAGAAGTGTTTGTTAATGATTTCAGAGCTTTGTTTTTCTGAAGGGCTTGAGCAGCTGCTTGAAACTCTTGGCTGTAGCAGTTTTGCAAGTTATTCACCTTAGAGGCAAAAGAAAATGTCACTCAGAGTGGTGCAGGGGTCTGTGGGGCTTCAAACAGCTCAGCTGGGGCTTGGTCTGGTATTTTTAAAGCATTTGTGTGGCAGCTGTGCCACTCACATGAAGCAGCAGGTCTTGGGAAGTTGCCTTTCTGTTTCTGAGCTCTGTCAATTTGCTAATGAGAAGCTTATGATATCTGTTACTTATGCTGACTCTGTCTCTCACCTGCTGGCAAAAAGTGAAGTTCTGCTCTAAGGCAGAGTGCCCTGGTTCTTTGGTACATCGCTGGGGTGGACACCGTGTGCCACTGCACAGCCAGAGCTCACAGTCCCTCGTGACAACCCCTGACTAAGCACAGAGCATGGCATGATAAAATAAAGGCTCAAACTGTGCCAGGTGTGTCAAGAAAATACGGAAATATGGGTTTTCATTACCTGAGCACGCACAGTGACATCAACCCCTACATTAAAATACACACAAAACCAGGAAACAATACCTTGCCTGTAAATTTTTGTGGCCTCCCTCACACCCTCATCCCCCAATAATTTAGAAACACAGGGAATGTTGGTGGTTTTTTGTGCTGTCTTGCTCTCCTTTGCCTGAGACAAGCTGGCAGCAGGCTGGTAGGGTCCTGGTAGAAGGGAGGGTCCAGCCCATCAGGCTGTAAAAGCAGGCTAGGTGCTGCACTGGAGATGTGAAACACTAGTTACTTTGCTATAGGGTCAGATATTGGATTATCAGCAAAAGTTGATCCCAGTCACATGGCAGATCTTACATTTGCTGTCATAAAATCTATCATTATTTAATAGGCATGGAAATCAAATTCTTCTGTGGACTATGAAGGAAGAATCTTTTAAAAATGTCTGTTTACCACAACAGACAACATATTGATCATCAGTTTTGAGATCTCTCAGACAATTCAGAGATGTGTGTGCACACAAGCTGGCAGCTTGCTTTGCTGTGTTTGCTGCCCCAAATCAAATCCCACTAAATGCCATACACTCAGCTTTCTGATCAGGTACATTTTAAATTCTTTAAAGACTGCTGTTTTGTTAAAGACAAATACTAAGGAAATTACATAGTATCAACCTGCCTCTAGTGATACTCACAGGTACACACAGTGAGGAGATACACTCCTGTCTTTTGCCACAAAAGAAAAACTGCCTTCTCTGGATGAAGCTCACCTAGTATTTACCACTGCGAACAGCCTCATCTATTTTAGCAGCAGAAAGGGGCTGATCTTATCCTGACTTGAGTCAACACAAATTTTATCCCTGGTATTAGGGTCACTGGGATGGTTAGAAGGTGGACCAGGTTGCTTTTTTCTTTGCAAAGTCTACAAGTACTGTATCCATCCCTCAGTCTCCCCATTTCTGCCGTGTGGTCCCTGGATGGGAGCTGTGGGATGAAATTGAAAGGAAAAGTTGCAATGCTGGTGTGGGACATGTAGGAGCTCCAGCTACAGCACCATCCCAGACCTGGACTCCTCCAGCTGGTGACAGAGCTGTGCCTGTCCCTCCTCTGTGCCCTGGTGAGGTAGTTCAAGTCATGACAAAGGGCTCTCCTGGGTAAGGACTAGTAACTGCAGGTGACTTACGATTTGCACCAGATTTCCTGACAGAGACAATAACCCATTTCTCATCGATTGCAATAAAGTGTTTGTAGATGTGTTTTTCCAAGTCCCTGTTTGTGGACACTCCAGGGCACTCCACGAGCTGCCACGGCTCCATGGTCCCCAGGCTGAGCCTGCTCTGTCCCTGGCAGCCAGTGGCACCTCTGTGACACCCAGCACTGAGGAGAGAGGAGGGGGAGCGAGCACCCTAAAGCCCTCTAGCTTTAGAACTAGCACAGTCTTTAATCTGCGCATATTTTAAGGTGTGGGGATCCCATAAATCCTTCCACATCTGGGATCGCTTGTAATGGCCAGTGTCAGGAGTTTACAGAAGAGCTTTCCTAAGATCTAGTGCCCAGAATCAATAGCAGCTGCAATTCCAGGCAGGGGGATAGGCTGAATCCCGATTTGATTCTCAGGTGTTTTCAATTGTATTTCCAGCAAAAAATTATTGTTGTTAAGTGATTCCTCTGGTCTGGTTGTGCCTTTTGAAGTTGCCTTTTTTTCTTTGAGCTCAGATTCCTTGAGATCCTCTAGGTGCTCTGTCCTCAAGCTCGCATGTATCTAATAAACCTGACAGCTTCTCGGCAGATGTCTCCATCTTGTCCATTTTCTCCTTTATTGAGGAGACAGTCTTCACCGGAGAGTGCATCTTAGCTAGTGTGGCCAAGGCAGGCTCCTTAGAGAGCTCCCAGAGACCCAAGTCATCTACTCCAGCCATGGAGGAGCAAGGGGACCTTGCCTGGCAAGGTAGAGTTTGAAACACCCTGCAGCTCACACTCCATTCTCCATTTTCTGCCTTCCCCTTCTTTTGTGTGTCTGACACCATCAGCTCCCATCCGACTGGAAGCACTCATGCTGCTCTGGGGTGAATTTTTTCAGGTTTCAGCCACTCCACCTTCCCATGGGGAACACCCCTCTTCATTAACATTGTTACCATTCCGTTTGTGCAAGCGCTGCCTGGGAGCACCAGGAAAATGGAACCTGGAGAAAAAGGCTCTGTTTTGCAGTGTTTGGTCTGGGTCACAGCATGCTGGCCAGGATTGCTGACTGGACTCTGTCCTCTCCATGAAGCCCTTCTGGGTCTGTGCTAAATCACGAGCAAGTTTGGGCCAGACTTCCCTTGGCTGTCCCAGTTTGCTCTGAAGTGCCTACATCTGAATTCCTTGTGGGTGGAAGAAAGGAACATGGAGGTGATGGACAGCATCTGTAATAGGAAATTGCTGTCTGCAGATGTGTGTGTGAAGGAAAGCCTATGTCAGACAATGGTATCAAGGGATAAATTCCACAAGTGAGTGAATCCATCTGAGTGTAAGACACAGGTTGTGCATTTTCCTCAAGAAGGAGCCGAACAGCTTCAAGGATATCAATCCACTTTATGAATGATGTGGTTTCCCTAGCACTGCCCATGCTTACTCAGTAGGAGAGAAGACAACAGGCAAATAAACAGATGTTTGGCTCATCTTGGACTAGGTTTTGACCTTCCTCCTTTTGCATTTAGGTGGAGCTATGCTGGCAGTTTTGCTTGAGTAAAGAGTTTGATTACATTCCTCTCTTGAAGGAGAAATGTGAGAGTGTCCAAGCTGAAACACCTTCTAGAAAATGCAACCTTCTCTCTTGGCTGGCTCTGCAGGTGGGTAGTGTGCAGTGGGAGATGCTCCAGCTCTTTTAAAACAAGCCTTTGCCCACTGAATACAATGGAGAGAAGCTTTTACCACCTCTAAGTATAGAAATTTCTCCCGCCTTTTCTTTGCACAAATGGAAATCTGATTGCTCCTTCTAATCTTCCCCTGTACACCTGGTGTTGCAGTGACCAGTGACAATGCGGCCCTGATAAAGACTTCAAGAGTGGACCTATTATCTATATCCCAGAAATGCTCAGATCATGTGGGAATAGTTAAAGGTAAGAAAATATATAACAGGTCATCTGTCTTTCAGCTCTAGTCAGCTCAGAGGTGGAAACAGATTGACGCAGCTGGGTGCAGCCATCCCGCTGGAGCCTGCAAATGCCGGCCAGCAGAGCTGCAGCAGGCACGGAGCACAGCCTGTGCAGTTCCCTGGGAAGCTGTTTGTCCGCGGGGGTTTGGCTGTCAGCTTTGGGGCAGCCAAAGCACTGAAGCTGCTTGCTTGCCAAGCCCACTCTGATGAGATAGCTGGGTGTGGTTCCCTGTCCTGTAGGCACGTGGGGTGACTTGACCTTTTGTTGATCCAGCTGCCCCTGCAGCCCCAGCACTGCGCTGAGGCCAGTGCTTGCTGGCAGAGGCAGGGAGCTGGCTGGCACCTGGGGGCAAAGGATCTTGGGTGCATGAGGCAATGCAGACCCTCCCTGCCACCCGGCCCTGATGCTGGGGAAGAAGCTGGATGCTGAGACCTGCAAGCCTGTACACTGCTCTCTGGGTATTTGCTCATACACAGTATTGTTGTGGGCAGGGTGTAACCCCTGGCCTCTAGTGCAGATGGCTGCATGAAAACAATTAATCTTTTGGAGAGCAGTGAATGGAAACATTAGTGCCTCGACCCCTAACACAGGTGAGCATCACTGCCCAACATGAAGGCCTGTGTGCATAGGGAGCTTTTGCTGACTGCAAGCTTTTGGAGGCTTGTGAATCTGCAAGAAAAGGCAGAGAAGGATGGAGAAATGGAGTCAGGGATGCACTGCACTCTCCTGGACAAGCACTGGGGCAGGAGCCTCAAGGAAAGCCAGTGAGCCCCAACGGGTGTGGGCTGGCCAAGGGACTGGGAGAGGTGGGCAGCAAATACCCCTTGCTCTTATTCGTTCCGTGGAAAAGGCAGCATGACATGGCTCTTTGCTCCTGGCAGATAACCTGGAAGCCATCTAACAAATACCCCAGCTTCACCTATTTCTTATCCCAGGGGGAATCAACCATCTGCAGTTTTGCTGGTTGTGCTGGACAGGAAGGCATAGTTCATTAGCAATTTATACGTTCAGTTTGTCTCCTAAAATGGATCTTTCCAGCAGCAGGGATGTGTCATTTCCCTGTTGAGATGCTCCTGCTTTCACAGTGGTGACTCCCAAGCCAATCACTCTCAGTTTGAGCTGGAGTTACCAGCGTATGTAAATGACATAAATAAGCTGCAGGAGTGGGGTCATGTAACTGTTTTGTTAGGTTCTGCCCTGTCAGTCCTATGTCATGGATCCTGACAGAATATTAACATGTTTGCATATGTAAATGTGTTAAAGAGAGCATCAGCTGAGGGAATACATTAAACCCAGACGTCCTTCCAAGTTGATTTAATCTGACAGCACCTCCATTAAAAAAATAAAAAGCATCAGTTTTCCCTTTGTGACTTGATGTACAGTAATTAGCTTGTTAGAGCAGGAAACACCTCCTTTCATAATTGATTTTGCACCCCTTTTACTTGGATAT